ACCAGAGGCTCATGGACCAACATCGCCGAAACGTCCACGCCTCGACAGCCCAAAGAATCCGAGGAGCGCAAATTCCTCACTGACGTTCGAAAGGGAGACACCATCTATACCCTATCGTATAATTATCCACGACTGTTCTTACGTCACTATAGTAATGCCAGACGCCTCATCGGCCTTCACGGACCCGGCAACGATCGCCTCGAGAAGATATTTGTGGAATGGCACTGGGGCGACCCAGGAAAGGGCAAAGCCACATACGCCCTAAATGAATGCGACCGAGTATCCACCTACTATTGGAAGAATCCAACCCAATGGTGGGATGGATATGAGGGACAAGACCTAGTCGTCATCGACGATTACGATGGTCAGTGGCCGATCCACGAACGTTTGTATTTGTTTGAGAAATTCCCTTACAAAGTGAACTGCAAAGGTTATACTGTTGATTTTTTATCTAAGCGCATCATTGTTACCTCTAACTTCCCTCCCTTAGAATTTTACCCTTTAGCTCCCTTAGTTAGAAAGAATACACTTTTACGCCGAATTGATATAATTAAGGAATACAATTAGTTTTGTACACAAGTCTTCTTTATTGTCCTAAAGCCAAGGCCGTTGACGATAAACGGCGATCGCGATACTGAACGTAGCAAGTCACATAGAGCGTACCAACCCTAGGACACCATTTCCGGAATTCCTCCGACATATTGATAAATTGTATAAAGAAAGCCGCGTGTAGCTTCCCAGTATCCGATAGCCAGGGATTACGTTTGCCTTTTAGATGACCGCCATCGACCCAGAGAGTTTTGCGTGAAAGCGCGAAATCCCGATGAACCATAAATTCGCGATAATAGCCCTTAGCGCGAACGCAGTCCATATCGGTGCAATTAGAGAATTCCGTAGGATACCGCAATCCACATATACCGAGACGTACACCGCAACGATTATACTGATTAAGAGATAATGTTCCTCCGCGTAAATCGCTACGAAACCGAATATTTATCCCTTTGAACCTGTATCTGTCGTAGATGTGCAACAGCTCAACCGCCTGAGGCATATAATCCAACCGGGGACAGATCTCAAACAGGAACTTATGGCAAACAAAACGGCGACCTCTTCTTCTGCGAAACCTATATCGCCTAAACCGGCGAAACCGCCGTCTATAAGCTCGTCTCCGAATCCGATGTAACCTGGATCCGCGCAGGTAACGGCGCCGAGCACCTCTTCTCATATTCACCCAAAACGAACTCCCGGAATTCCAACAACTGAGAAATTAGGCTATTAAGATGGTCCAACAACGTCTCCAAAGTCCTCTTCACCTGCGGAGAACAACAATGACCCTTACAATTACCGTAATGCTTCCTCCAAGCGGCTATTTGCGTAAATAACTGCTCTTCAGACCTCCTCCACTTAGGGATCTCGTCGCACATACCGTAGAAATAAGTAAACCTTACAAAATCATACAAATATATACCCAAAACCCCACCCGCCCTTCAAATAAATAAATTAATCAAGAAAAACAAACTACTTATAAGTAGAAATACAACCCTATAAACCCTGTCACCGACACAGCGGCAACTATGTAATACTACATAGTGGCGCTGGTCGGCACAGGGTTTTGGTTAGGGTTAGGGTTAGGCAAAACCCTAACGTTAGCATATAGCGAACGTTACCAGTCCATGCGCCACTGCTGGCAACTAAAACTATCCCTAAACCCAGGCTGAAGCACCATTAGCAGTCCACCATGCCAGTCCACCATGGGTTAAGGTTAGGGCCTTAGGCTTAGGGTTACCCGCCCTACCCACCTGTCTGTGGCTTAGATTCAAATTTTGACAGGTGAGAAAAAGCGCCATGTAGCATATGTGCGTTCTCCCTGAAATCAGGGAACCCACTCCCTTACACACATGACTAGGCGCGACTTTTTGAACCATTTACAATATCCGGTTCAAACCTGTGACAACCCGCACCAATCGGATGAAACTCAGACAACCTTGTCTGAGTCACGCATGTATCAGCCAACAAAAGTCACATGCGTGCTCCGCAAAACTCAGTCGATGGCTGATCGAAGCAGGTGCTGGCTACTAACTTGGAACAACCCACAGCTAGATGATGAACAACTACGTTCGCTTCTGGAACGAACAAACATACAATACACCTTCCAAGAAGAGTCGGGAGAACACGGCACCAGACATTTTCAACTCTTCTTACGATTCCCAAATGCAGTCCGCCCAACAACTCTGCAGCAACTCTTACCAGGGGCCCACATTGAACGCGCATGGAACCCCATCGCAGCAGAGCAATATTGCAGAAAGACAGATACAAGAACCCGAGGACCTTGGTCCAACATCACCCAAACGTCCACGGCTCAACAGCCCAAAGAATCAGAAGAACGCAGATTCCTCAGAGAATTCCGAAAGGGTGACAACATCTACACCCTATCATATAACTATACGAAATTGTTCCTACGTTACCATAGTAATGCACGACGCCTTGTCAGTCTACATGGACCCAGAAACGATCGCCGAGAAAAAACCTTCGTCGAGTGGCACTGGGGTGAACCAGCAAAAGGGAAATCCACCTATGCGCAAGCAAAATGCGACAAAGCACAAACATATTATTGGAAAAACCCAACACCCTGGTGGGATGGTTATGAGGGACAAGAACTAGTTGTAATCGACGACCAAAGTGTCGTCCATAAGGTTTACGTTTAGGCTGCTGATGGCCAAAAATTTGGTCATTTAGAGAGCTACAACACTCACGCTAGGGCACACATTCTCGCTGCTCGCGTGCACGGGATGCATATTCCGTCAAGGATACGCGGAAATCGAGTACAGACTTGTAAGTACGTACTACCACAGTGACGAATCATTCGTCACTCATGGTGCTCTAAAGATCACGATTACAAAGAAAGCTTTTTATGCAATATACGGCATCGAGAACGATTTAGACCACTAGCTAACAACATCCATGGACATATGAAGCCATTTACCTTCATCTCCTTTTACTTCTCAGCGAGTGGCAAAAGGTACGCTTCAATGGGAAGGCTCGCAGTCCATATGTTTGCATGGAATGATAATCCATAGGTACTATAATTCTGCATAAGTTTCCCATGATTGCACATAATATTCGCTGTTAAGGAAGGCACTTAAATGTGGTTGCAATAATGTGTCAACTGCTATGAAACTCAAACCCCCAAGTGTTACTTTTTCATTATATTAATAATGTGTTCCACATTAAAATTCCGATGCTCTCCAGTCGGCACAATAGGAGACTAAGTAAGTAGTCCAGGACGAGATAATCAGTGGACGGCAGGTATCTTTAATAAATGGGCTAACAAACAGTATGTTTATATTTTATGCCTTATGGTGAAAAATTTCGACTTCAGTTACTAATATTGCATTAGTGTTGCTCAAGTTTAAAGCAAATATAGCTGCATGCATTATACACGTGGATGTTTTAACATCGTTACGTAGACGTATAGTAACGCGAGTTGAGCATTGACACTTCTGCAACACAGCGTGCAAACCTGATTGAGTGGGCACTAGTTTGCATGCACTTCAAAAACGGTTTGCTGCACATTTTTTCTGTGATCTGTTTCGCGTCGAACAACATCTAGACAGGACGCCGATAAGACGCATAAAAGAGGACCCACGGACTCTTATCGAACGCCCGTACCGACAAGCTTTTCAAAAAAGAGAGCTTTTAGGGTTTAAGTTGCGGAAATCTAATGTCTCAAAAGGACTTCCTAGACTGCGAATTAGTTACATACAGCATCCATGAAAACAAGCGACCTAAATTTGACTTTTAGCATTACAATCCGCGCACTATGCAATATTGGACATACTGGAGTTGATATTTTATTGTGTAAGTAATTTACCAAATATGCAGCATTACGTTATCCGTAGAGAGCGTCGGATTAATCGAAAACAGCTGATCGTATTTTGGGGGCGGTACTGTTTGCTGTACGGGCTGATGGGGATGGATGATATGAAGTACGTTGTTAAGGCCTGATAAGGGTTTGATAAAGGTATGTTGATTTAGGGGAACTGAAAATGGTGGTGCATTCTTTTACGATGTATGAGATGGTGTTTGTTTTAGTGCGCAGGTGTTGTTTCGGTTTCGCTGCAATGGCTGTGGATGATACTCTTGCTTTCCGCGCTGCTTTTCGGCAATATTATAAGGCATTTGGTGAATTCGAGGAAGATTTGAAGCGGTTTCAACTTCAGACGGCGACCAGTTTTTACAAATATGACGTTTTGACCGCTGCGTCGTATAAGAAGAGGTCCGGTCAAGAGCTACCCGATGGGATGCGATACAAATGGGTACAATATCGTTGTGTCCATTGCACCCGGAAAGGAGACGGTGGCAGTCGGTAAGTGCGAACGTTTTTTTATGCGTAATTCATGTATCATAGGTATGTCAGCCTCGGTTGTAAAGCGAGCATATCCATCAGTGCTAAGAGCATTTACTATGAGATAGGCTCGCATTGTCTGGTGCATAATCATAATTTTCACTTGGGGAATCCAAGTTGGAACGTGGATAACCGGCGTCTGACTCCCGAGGCGGAGCGGAAAGTGTTTGATTTAATGCATTCCTTCCGTAATACCGGAGAATTGCGAGACTATGTCCTGGAAAGATATAACAAACGACTGAATCGACAGGACCTATTTTCCATCCGCCATCGCTTAGGTGGGGTATCTAAGGGGAATGATGTAAACACGGTAGAGGAATTGTTGAGTAAGAACGGCGCTGTACGTGTCGAAAGAGATGGGTCACAAGTGCGATTCGAATTTTTCGTTCCTGCTTCAATGACTTCCATAGAGGCGAAATACGGCGACGTACTTCTTGCGGATGCGACGCATCAGGTGAACTGCGGTGGTTATGTCCTTTGGCACTGCATGGTGATTGACGGTGTCGGCGTAGGTCGCAGCGTGTTTTACGCTTTAATGCCCAACGAGACAGCATGCAGTTACCTGGAGGTTGCTCGGGGCATGTCGGAAATGTTGCCCACCACGTTCAGCGAAGACTATAGTCATGGATAGGTGCCTGGGTCAAATGAAGGCATTTAAGTCAGTATATGCACGGAGCACGGTAGTATTATGCCGCTTTCATTTCCTGCGGGACGTTTCACGCAGATGCCAGTGTTTGTCAAAAGTGAAGAAGGCGGACAGACTTTTGCTCAAGCAGTGGATGCACCGATTAGTGTACACGAAGACGGAATTGCAATTTAAGATGCTGCTCAGAGCGATAAGGGTTAGAAGCAAAGAGGCATTCACTTACCTCAGTCGTACGTGGTTGCCCTTCTCAGGAAGCTGGGCGTACCACCGGTTGCGCGATGTGCGTACGTTGGGTGCCTTCACCACAAACAGAGTGGAAAATGAGAATAAGCACCTCAAGTGCGGATTAAGCGAAAGGACATCGCTGTTGCAACTTTTTGAGGCAGTTGTACGTAGAGCACGCGATGCGGAATCACGTTGGACCACGTCACTAGGCAAATTGCGGATGTCGAAATCGCGCACCATTCCGGCAACAGGGCAGGTGCGGGAGTTGGTTTCCTGCCTTTCTACTTATGCTGCTGCCATATTTATGCGGCACATTTCTTCAGAGACGGTCACCTCAATACGGCCGAACGGCACTGGGTATGACGTATTAGATAAGGGAGACCGAAAGCACACCGTTTTTATGGGTAATGAGATGGCCTGTGATTGCAGTTTTCTTAGGCAATGGGATATGCCATGCGCACACATTGTGCGAGTAGCTGGGATGTTAACCGCAGACGTTACCCCACTTATGCACAGAAGCCGTTGGTCGATGGTGGACCATCAGTTTCCTATCCCTGATGAGGAAACCTTCCGAGCGGAAGTTGAACCGATGCCCTCCACATCTGCCTCCACGCACGTCGTGTTAACGCGTGAGGAAAAGTTGTCTCGTGCTAACCGGCTGTTCGGTGATTTAACCGTTGCCATGACCAGCCTGGGTACAATGGCATTCCTTGAGGCAGAGCATTTCTACCAAAGCAGCCTAAATACCTTGCTTCGGAGGCAGAGACTGGTGTCCATTGGAAATTGCCTCCCTGACAACGTCCACCAGGCGGACGCTATACCACAGCGTCCACGGCCCAAGGCAACAAAAAGGAAGCAGTCGCTTTCACCTAGGGTGATGGAAGCCCCGCAACTGTCAACGGAAACGCACCCCCTGCACTTCCGACGCATGCCGACTGTCACCTCCGCAGTTTGCAAAACGGTGACTAAACGCGCCAGAGCTGAGAATATACAACCTGCAAACAACAACGAAAACGCCTGCATCATTTGCGATACGGAGGACGGACCGAGAACCGGCGGAGACACCGTTCACTGGGTGATGTGCTGCAAATGCAACCGGTGGCTTCATCAGGTATGTGCCGCATACACCGCAGACCAGGAGCACTATACGTGCGTCTTTTGCATGTGAGTTCACATTTTCTAACCCATTTCCTCTTCTTCCATGCCACTGAGAACGACAAACCGGCCCTTTTTAGGGCCACCCTCTGGCGCTGCAGCGGCATGACTCCCCCGGATGGTAACCCACGCTGCTCGGCAGCCGCTGGGTACTACTTCGAGCATACCGCATGGCAGTCTAGTGGGTGGCTCTACGAACGACGATTATGCGTCCTTGATTATCTATGACAACGGAGCCCCGTTCTCAGTGGCAGTTACTTCATTTTGTATGCAGTCACCATAGAGTGACACAGGCAAGGGTAAGTCACGTTCGAGTGACCAAAGTGTCGTCCAAAAGGTTTACGTTTAGGCTGCTGATGGCCAAAAATTTGGTCATTTAGAGAGCTACAACACTCACGCTAGGGCACACGTTCTCGCTGCTCGCGCGCACGGGATGCATATTCCGTCAAGGATACGCGGAAATCGATTACAGACTTGCAAGTACGTACTACCACAGTGACGAATCATTCGTCACTCATGGTGCTCTAAAGATCACGATTACAAAGAAAGCTTTTTATGCAATAAACGGCATCGAGAAGGATTTAGACCACTAGCTAACAACATCCATGGACATATGAAGCCATTTACCTTCATCTCCTTTTACTTCTCAGCGAGTGGCAAAAAGTACGCTTCAATGGGAAGGCTCGCAGTCCATATGTTTGCATGGAATGATAATCCATACGTACTATAATTCTGCATAAGTTTCCCATGATTGCACATAATATTCGCTGTTAAAGAAGGCACTTAAATGTGGTTGCAATAATGTGTCAACTGCTACGAAACTCACAAACCCCAAGTGTTACTCATTTCATTATATCAATAATGTGTTCCACATTAAAATTCCGATGCTCTCCTGTCGGCACAATAGGAGACTAAGTAAGTAGTCCAGGACGAGATAATCAGTGGACGGCAGGTATCTTTAATAAATGGGCTAACAAACAGTATGTTTATATTTTATGCCTTATGGTGAAAAATTTCGACTTCAGTTACTAATATTCCATTAGTGTTGCTCAAGTATAAAGCAAATATAGCTGCACGCATTATACACGTGGATGTTTTAACATCGTTACGTAGACGCATAGTAACGCGAGTTGAGTATTGACACTTCTGCAACACAGCGTGCAAACCTGATTGAGTGAGCACTAGTTTGCATGCATTTCAAAAGCGGTGTGCTGCGCAATTTGAGAGTGATCTGTTTTGCTTCTAACAATTTCTAGACAGGACGCCGATAAGACGCATAAAAGAGGACCCACTGACTCTTATCGGACGCTCGTGTCGACAAGCTTGTCAAAAAAGCGAGCTTTTAGGGTTTAAGTTGCGGAAATCTAATGTCTCAAACGGACTTCCAAGACTGCGAATTAGTTACATACAGCATCCATGAAAACAAGCGACCTAAATTTGACTTTTAGCATTACAATCCGCGCACTATGCAATATTGGACATACTGGAGGCCATATAGCTCATGTGCGTTCTCCCAGAGATCAGGGGACCCTCACGTGTACACACATGACTAGGTGGCTCTTTTTCACCCATGTCCGATATCCGGTTCAAACCGGTGCACGAGTGCACCAATCAATGAGAACTCAGACATGGTTATCCGAGTCACGCATGTCTCACCCAACAAAAGTCACATGCGTGCACCGCAAAACTCAGTCAATGGCAGAACGCGCTCGGTGCTGGCTCATTACGTGGAACAACCCTCCCATTGATGATGGAGAACTCCGAGCAATTTTGGAAAGAACAAACGTTCAATATACTTTTCAAGAGGAAAGCGGGAATCTCAACACCCGACATTTTCAACTGTTCCTACGATTCCCCAATGCCGTCAGGCCGGCCACTTTACACCAGCTCCTTCCAGGAGCACATTACGAGCGCGCCACCAACCCTGTTGCTGCCGAACAATACTGCAGAAAGCCATACACCAGAACAAGAGGTCCCTGGACCAACATCGCCGAAGCGTCCACGACTAGACAGCCCAGGGAATCAGAGGAGCGAAAATTCCTTACGGACGTACGAAAAGGAGATAGCATTTACACGCTATCCTATAATTATCCGAGATTGTTCTTACGTAACTATAATAATGCACGACGCCTTATTAGCCTACACGGGCCACGCAACGACCGACGCGAGAAAACATTCATTGAATGGCACTGGGGAGAGCCGGGGAAGGGCAAGTCCACCTACGCCCTAAGCGAATGCGACCGCGTGAACACGTACTATTGGAAGAATCCCACTCAGTGGTGGGATGGCTACGAGGGCCAAGACCTCGTAATCATTAATGATTACGATGGCCAATGGCCAATCAAAGAACTGTTGTATCTTTTTGACAAATTTCCTCACAAAGTTAATTGTAAAGGTTACACGGTCGATTTTCTTTCAAAACCTATCATTGTTACATCTAATTTTGCCCCTTTAGATTTTTATCCATTAGCACCCTTAGTTAGAAAAAACGCTCTTTTACGTCGTATAGATATTATTAAAGAATATAATTAATTTTTTATACAAGCGTCTTCTCTATTGTCCCAAAGCCAAGGCCGTTGAAGACAAACGGCGATCGCGATATTGCACGTAGCATGTTACGTATAGCGTTCCGACGTTAGGGCACCACTTCCGAAATTCCGCCGTCATATTTAGGAATTGTACAAAGAAGGCCGCGTGTAGCTTAGAAGTATCCGATAGACAGGGATTGCGCTTCGCATCTAGACCATTACCGTCTACCCACAGAGTTTTGCGTGAGAGCGCGAAATCACGATGTACCATGAATTCGCGATAATAACCCTTTGCTCGAACGCAATCCAGATCAATACTATAGAGTGGTGCTGGTGGGGACAGGGTTAGGGTTAGGGTTAGCCAAAACCCTTACGTTAGCTGTTAGCTAACGATGCCAGTCCATGCGCCACTGCTGGCAACTAAAACTATCTCTAAACCCAGGCTGAAGCACCATTAGCAGTCCACCATGGGTTAACGGACGATGAGTTCAGTTAGTCCGTGGACCTTTTCCACTACAACACGCCAACAAGCGACATCAAGCAGTTCGTCGAGATTCGATTCGGAAAGTATATTACCAGCAATGATGTCCGCAGTGTTCGTCGTAAATTGCGACCTGGCGTTGAGTGTAAGCTTATTTTGATGGTTTTTAATACCTGCAGTAAAATTGCATCAGGTTATCAAGTCTATGGAGGAAGACGGAGTTGCGCGAATTATTTCAGAAGTTGGCCTGTGCACACACGTATTATTCGCTCGGCATCAACAAATAGAACTGTTCCACCGATTCTTACACGTCGTTGTTGTGGACGCTACTCATGGTACTAACAGTTTGAAATAAGAATTGATAGTGGCGTCACTTGTTGCTTGCAGCTTCAAACTATACCAGTTTTTAATAACTGACGGGATGGGTTACGGCCGGCCAACATTTTATGCGTTTCTGCATCGGGAAGATTACGCATCTTTGTTTACGTTGTTCGATGCGTTTGGGGATATTGTGGGTCATGAGATTCCCGTCAGCACAATACTGATGGACAAAATGGCTGCTCAAATACGCGCAGCGCGCGAGGTATTTCAATGCGACATTTTGTTGTGTTACTTCCACATCCGCCACGCCATCAGGAAGTGATAAATCTTTGTTACATTCTGTAGACAAACATTAACCGGTCGCGTTATCTGTTTCATCGCATGGCAACTTCGGACACGGAGACTGAGTACAATCGCTTTCGGTATGTAATATTCTTATCTTAGATTTCAACAACAGCTACAGCTCCTCCAAAGAACAGACCCCGGTTTGTGCGCTACCTTACGTTGTACTGGTTGTACATAAAACGCTCGTGGGCGAAACACGCCCAAGCTGAACTGGTGCATTGTGGAAATACAACGAACAACCGAGTTGAGAATGCCAACTTGCGGTTGAAGAAAGTTACCCATGCATCAATTGGCCTTGTTGCAGCCGTTCGGCAAAGTCTGGGAGCATTCGGAACTTCACCTGAAAGAGTCCCAGATGCATGCGGCGTTTTCTGTGACAGACGTTAGCTACTAGAGAAGGCAGCGAATACGTTCATCGCGTAGTTTGCCTCTTAACTACGTACGCATGCAACTTAGTGAGGCGCCATCTAGCACAACCCATGTTACCACCAGTTTACTCTGACTTTGGAGATGGAGTGATATGTGAATAAAAATTGCTGACGTCTCCATAGTTTGAGATATCTCACCAGGGAAACCGGTTCACTATCGATTGATCTTTGGGAACACGTACCTGTCCATTTTATAAAACCGTGTGGCGGCCGTGTGTGCATTTACTGACGGCATACAAGCAACACGCGTAACCGACAAGTAAGCCGTTTCTGATATGTGCAACCATTCACAGGCCAAATACCTATTTGCATTCGCTGGTTGGTGGACTACAACCTACCCACATAGTCCACGCAGTTGCGGACGTTAAAACTTCCCGTTACGAAACCAACCACATCTAAAATCACACATATTGTACATCTTCTGAGAAGTGCTGAAGAGGTTAATCCATCCGGATTTTCGGAACTGTATCAAGAGCTGCTGCGAATGACTAACGAAGTAATTGGTGATTCATCAGACTTTCAAAGTGCAAAGAAACAACCGCGTTGGCCGAAAATCATGGCGTCCGTAGATTTGTGCTTCACATGCAGCAAGCCTGTTGCGGTTGACGCAGTTCGCTGTGCACACAATCGGTTACTTTACCATCGAAAGTGTCTGCGTGTGCAATCAGAAGCCCGTTGTACAATTTGTGTCAACGCTTCACAAACGGTATCTGTGCCCATGATGGCAGTGTCTAGCTGTACTACCGGTAAGAAAGCACATTTTTCCTTCGATATTTATCTGTTGGCCATTCACCTTCACCGAAATTCACAGTTGCCTCGACCCCATCAACATGCCCCGCTTACGAAGGTAAGCGACAGCTTAGTATAACAATTTCCTGCGCAGGCAGTCAGGATGAGATTACCGCCTTTCCGAGTACAAGTCAACAAACCGTACCCCATCATATTGCACCTGCACTTGGTACTGATGATCTTTTTCCTTAACTTTCATCGATAGGTTGTCGGAAAGAAGCCGTCGAGTTCCCCGCAACGAGAGGTATTGTGTAGAATGCGGTGCCAAATTAAGCTATGCTGTGCAACTTAACCGCCCATTTTCACTTTATTGTAACGTCGACATGGATGCTGGCCCAGTAAAGAAAACGCTGAGAAGGAAGAAACTTATTCAGATAAAAACTCTTATTCAATTGCCTGACAGTAGACTATACGTTCACATTATTATATTTTAGCTGATGAATACGACTTTGTGTAATGACACCCTGCATGGGACACGCGCGTCCAAAACACGGATATAATGAACAACGCTGAACCTTTTCTCGCAAGCTTACTGTTAAATACAAAGCATAGTTGTTATTGCGGTTTCTGCGCTAATTCGGGATTAAAGCATTTTTAACGATTAACTGGGCTAGCGTACGCTTGCTGCCAATGCAATAGGACCCAGGTGGGTTGTAATAGCACACGGCTCCAAGGCTCGTGCTCGTTGTATATAGGCTCCGGCAGTGGCACGTTTAATGCCGATGTAATTGGACCCAAGTGCGTTGTAATAGCATTTGACTCCGAGGATTGTGCTCGTAGTATAGAGGCTCCGACGGTGGCACACTCACGATATATGGTGAGGTGGCATCAGCTATAACATACCGCTTGACTAAAAGTCATCCGATTTTAGTTTCGCTTGGTCGAGTTTTGGT